TGAGTAATTGTTATCATGACTAATTGCTACTGTCACAATTGTAAAGTTAGAAGTTTTGTAACAAAAACGGGGGAGTACTTAATCTTACAATCCAGAAGCAGAGGACCTTAGGACCATCAAGGAAGAGCACAAGCGGAATTACAGGCCCCAATCCAGAGAAGCAGCCACACCAGAGATGGAGGCAGAGATGGGGACATAGAGAGAGGGAGCAGCTGAGGACTCTAGATTCATGGAAATAGAGGGACTGAGAGCTGGTGGCAGACTTCCAGAATGTGCCCTTTGGTGGTGTAAATTATTATATATATATGTGAGTGTTTTTCTGTTTGTTTTCTAAAGAGCTACAATGAATAGAAAGACTGTTAACTGATGGTATATGGAGGGGATTATACTCGTTGTAATGAAACTAGGTATATGAGTTACTGAATGTAAAACTGATGATCTGCCCTGTAAACTTTCACTCAATTCACAATAAAAACTTAAAAAAAAAAAAAAAAAAAGGATAGATGCATGCAATGATTGTTGTTATTGAGTGCCATCAAGTCAGTACGACCCAGAGTGACCCTGTACGGGGTTTCTGATGAGTGGTTGGTGAGCTTGAACCGCTGATCTTGCAGTTCAAACCAATTTTGCAATCCAGCGCATTAACACACAGTGCCACACCAGGAATGAACCAAAGAAAAACAATTTGTCACGTCAATTCCAACTCATGGAGACCCAACGTGTATGTAACAGAGTAGGATTTTCTTGGTTATAATCTGAACTATGTTATCCGTAGCTTGTCATAATTTTAATTATAACAAGCTACGGGCAACATTGCAGAGAATAAGTATTCTGGACCACTGGATTGTGCTCATGAAGAACCTGTACGTAAACCAAGAGGCTTAAAATTAGGAAAGGTGTGCACCAGGGTTGTATTCTTACACCATACTTATTCAATCTTTATACTGAGCACATAATCTGAGAAACTGGATTATATTAAGAAAAACATGGCATCAGGATTAGAAGACGACTCATCAACAACCTGTGATATGCAGATGATACAACCTTGCTTGCTGAAAGTGAAAAGGAGTTAAAATGCTGATGAAGGTCAAAGACCACAGCCTTTGGTATGGGCTGCACTTCAATATAAAGAAAACAACACTCCTCACCACTGGACCAATAAACAACATCCCTATCAGTGGAGAGAAGACTGAAGTTACCAAAGACTTCATTTTGTTTGGATCCACCATCAACACTCATGGAAGCAGCAGTCAAGAAATGAAACAACATATTGCATTAGGCAAATCTGCTGCAAAGGTATCTTTAATGTGTTCAAGAGCAGAGATGTCAGCTTGAGGACTAAGGTGCACCTGACCCAAACCATGGTATTTTCAACAACCTTATACGCGTGTGAAAGTTGGGCAGTGCATAAGGAAAACTGTAGCATTGATACATTTGAGCTACAGTGTTGGAAGAGAATATTAAAAGTACCATGAACTGTCAAAAGAACAAACCGATCTGTGTTGGAAGAAGTGCAGCCTGAATGCTCATTGGAAGCAGGATGGCCAGGTTTGGTCTCTCATAGTCCATATTGTCAGGAGGGACCAGTCCCTGGAGAAGGATATCATGTTTGGTAAAGTGGAGGGTGGGAGAAAAAGAAGACCCTCACTGAGATGTATTGGCACCGCAGTAGCAGCAGCAGCAGCAATGATCTCAATGGTCGCAACAATTGTGAGGTTGGCACAAGACCAGACAGTGTTTCGTTCTGTTGTGCACAGGGTCACTATGTGTCAGTACTGACTCCATGTCACCTAACAAGAATCTTTAGGACAGCAGATCACCATGTTTTTCTCCTGAAGCGCTTGCTGACTTTTAAGTTAATTGTTGTTAAGTGCTGTCGAGTCGGTTCTGATCCATAGCAACCCTATATTGGGTCTCCGAGGAGTGGATGACAAATTTGAACTGCCAACCTTGTGGTTAGCAGGGCAATGCTTATCCTACAGCACCGCATCAGGACTGCTGTTCCACCCAGATAACAGGGAGACAAATAACAAAAACAAAATAAAATAAAAACCGATTCTGGCTCATAGTGACCCTACAAAGGGTTCTGGAGACTGTACATCCTCATGGGAGCAGACAGCCTCGTCCTTCTCCCAAAGAGCAGCTGGAAGATTTGAACCACACACCTTACTATTAGCAGCCCAATGCCAGGGTTAAAAAGAAAAAAACTACCACCTCCTCGGTCCTCTCCCATGGCCATACCCAACAGTCCTTTCTTTGTATCTTCCAAGACTTCATCCCAGGAGAGGACTCGGTTTGTCCAGCAACCCAGATACAACCACAGCTGAGTGAGCAGCATGTAGGTTACAGGGACACATACAAGAGGAAATGGACCTGTAGTCAGTGTTGAAGTCTCTCTGCATGTCAGTGTCCTTCAGCCACAAAAAGTGAGGTTGAAATGGCTGTTAGGATAAACAGCTCTAAATTCACTCCTTTAATAAGTGAGACTTCTACCATCCCGATAAACAGACACGCTCATCCTTTTACCTACAAGCTCTGAGGGAACCTCTCAGCCCTCTTGGTTCCACGTTAAAATAAGAACAAGACCTAGAAAGGGTGGCTCATTGCACCCTGACTCCATCCGTGTTAAGTAAAACAAGAGATCCTCATTCAAAGCGATTGGCGCCCAATACTTTCTGAGCATTTTGACGATTCTGTGGAGGTGTTTTCTCTCTGGTAAAGTAGGAATAACACAGTGTTCATAGGGTGGTAATAACAATTAAGACATGACAAGTAAACTAGAATGTCTGCCACAGGATGTGCTCAATAAATGTTCATTTAGTAAGCTGGTCACTTGTAATCTCCACACACATATACATTCACTCACAAGTACCAGACACACTCTCAAATCAGTCACCCCAACGACCAAGGACACCAGGGCCCCAAAGGACACTACCAAAGGAACCAGCTCACCAGCCTTTCTTTCTCAGAAAGCTCAGTCCTGTCAGGGGAGGGAACTGAGCCAGCAGCCGCTACTAGGATTTTCCCATGGTGCAATGCAACTTCCCCAACTTTTCCCGGCCCACACTAACCTAGCAAGCATTGTGCACGGATCAACCACAAGTCTGAGTAGAGCCAAACCGTGAAAAGAAACAAGTGATCCTGAGAAGAAATTTCGTAGCACCAGTCTAGTTGGGGTTCGCCATTCTTCTAGATTTGGGTAAAGGCTACCGCAGGCTCCCAAAGGACTAGCTAATGGTGAAGAGCTTAAAAGGGGGAGCTGACAGGAATCCCTCTGATGTCACCCGAAAGCTGGACCTGATGGCCCCCAGCGGACCTGTGTCTGTGGCACGTAGGAGGTTCTAGACCTGTGTGGGGCATTGTTCATAGCAAACGGCAGGGCTGATGGCCAGGTGTGCATCGGGATCCACGTATTGCCCCCTCCCGCACCCGCAGCTGGCCTAAAGCCGTAGGGCTCTACCTGCGGCCAGCGCTAGGTAGTAATGGCTCTCCAGAGTTCCCACTTGGAAGGCTAGGGAAAGAAGTCATGGAAAGCCTGTGCGAAACGTCGGTAGACTGAGGGCAGTCACTCACCCGCACCCTCGGCGGGCTGCGGCGGCCTGACGACTCCGTTCAGATAAAGAATGGGCAGCAGGTGAGGTTGCGTCTTCTCCAGCGCCGCCCGCAGGTCCTGGAAGTGGTCCCGGTCCTTGGCCAGGAGCAGCTTGAGCAGCAGCTCCGCCTTGGCGCTTCCTGCCTCCTCGTCCAGCTGCCGCCGCTCGCCGGGGCTGAGCGCTCCCGCGGCCTCCAGCAGCCCGAGCACGGCTTCCACCTCCGTCATGGCTTGGGCCAGGCTCTGCTG